TATATATATATATATATATATATATATATATATATAAAATACAATCACATCTCAAATTATTTTTAAAATGCAAGTAAGAAAAAGAAGAAAGTATAGTGAAATTTTAATAATTTGGATGTGTTTTATGGGTAACTGAACACATATTATTTTTAAATTCATAATAAATAATAAAAATGAGGGCACCTGGGTGGCTCAGTCAGTTAAGTGTCTGCCTTTGGCTCAGGTCACCTTCCCAGGGTCCTGGGATCGAGCCCAGCATTGGGCTCCCTGCTCTGAGGAGAACTTGCTTCTCCCTCTACCTCTGCTGCTCCCTTTGCTTGTGCTCGTTCTCACTCTCTCCCTCAAATAAATAAGATTTTCAAAAAAACTTTTTATTTTAAAAAATAAATAAGTAGTAAATAATATATGTAAATTACATAGTTAGCACCATGTATGGTTTTAGTCTGTAAACACATACAACACAAATATAATAGTTATTTCCAAAATAAGTTAAAGTAATGACAGCATATAGAGACACGATTCTACAAAGTTTTTAAGATGCTTTCAAATGAGCTATTCATTATTCATCATTATAATAATGTACTGGGTATATCAGATGAAGTACAATAATTATTTTACCAAAAAAATGATAAAAAATTTCAACTAAACAGGTGTAGAGAAACATTAAAATATAAATTAGTGTCTAAGTAAGTTAAAAGTTAAGAAATTTTCAGGATCTGGTGGGCAGAGTTTGAAGTAAAACATTGGTCTCCATACTTCAGTCAGAACTTACTAAATAAAGAAATGAAATAAAACAAAGAACCACAGGATCGCTACCATCCGCACAACAATCCCAAGCCCGTTTTCAATTCATATTATAAATAATGAAATAGCAATGAGCACATCTTCCATATCAATGGAAGTCCTACACAAGCATTAAACAAGTTCTTAAAATGCATCAACTTAGTCCTGTTTAAATCCTCTTACCTCCAATAAGACATAAGCTTATTATGATGACTATAATGAGACCTAGGAAAACAGAGGCGATGACCATCCACAGTTTGCACTTTCCAATCAATTTCTTATTACAGGAACTCCAAGGGTTCTCCTCCTTCTCCTGGAAAGCAGAGGGACACTGTGAGGCAGTCACTGGTTTCCAGAAGCACTTCTGTACTCTCGCAAAGGCAGCAGGATCCTGCCCTCTCCAGGCCACACTTCACGGAGTCAGGTTTACAAAGAGGTAGAATGGAACCTCACAAGAAGTGGAGTGAGGGGGGTGCCTGGGTGGCTCAGTGGGTTAAAGCCTCTGCCTTCGGCTCGGGTCATGATCTCAGGGTCCTGGGATCGAGCCCTGCATCGGGCTCTCTGCTCAGCGGGGAACCTGCTTCCTCCCTCCTTCTCTCTGCCTGCCTCTCTGCCTACTTGTGATCTCTCTCTCTCTGTCAAATAAATAAATAAAATCTTAAAAAGAAGAAGAAGAAGAAGAAGAAGTTGGCGGGGAGGAGGAGTCTTGGGTGGCTCAGGTGGTCGACTCAGGTAATGGTCTCAGGGTCCTGGGATCAAGCCCCGCATTGGGCTCTCTCTCTCACAAATAAATTAAAAAAAAAATTTTTTTTAAGTGAGGGGGAAAATACCCTAGGGGCTCTGAGGTGGGGAGGTTGGGGCAAAGCAAGACTTTGGAGGATGGACAGAGAAAGGCAGATGGACAGAGCAACCTCAATGTTGAGTCATAACCAGGCTGGCCAAGAGAATCCTCTGCCCGCGTGGGTTCCAGAAGGAAGTCATGGTCTTTAAGATTAGAGACAATGAAAGGTCCGAGCATCCTTGGGAAGGTTTTCAGCGCCGCCAGAGCAGTCTGGACTTAACTGGGTGTGTGCTGGGGAACTGTGAAAGGTTTTGGAGCACGAGAACTGAGTTGAAGATGAAGAGTAAAACTATGTGTAGTTTAGAGTGAGCATGCCAAGGACAAGCAAAGAGACTACTGCTGTGCCCTGTGCTACGTAATTAGGGCCTGGGAAGGGAAATGAAAGGAAGGATGGGAGCGACACCAGGAAGCAGGCTGCAGTGGGTGTAGTGAGGCCACAACTTAGTCGCTTGGTTGGTCGCTGACACCATTTCCTTTCAGTCAAATGGTCCTGCAAGGGAGGCACTAGCCCGTCTCCAAGATGCTGTCAGAGGGAGCAGGTGGGACGGATGCCTGCTGCGGGTCACGGCAAAGCTGGCACCTGCTGTCCACAGCTCCCCAACCCCCACCCCGCGTCACAGCGCAGAGCTCCAGGCTATGAGCGTGCCTGGCTGTCGTGGGGTCAGTCTCCACTGGGGGCCACCCCCTGTCCCCTGCCCCTACCGGCTTCTGGGACTCTGTCCTTGCTTCCCACAGAGCCGTCAGGGAATTCTCACACAGAGACCATGGATTCCGGTGGGGGGACAAGTGTGGTTCTGTACCCGCATTCCCTGCCTATGCCTGAGGGCAATGACTGCCTCATTCAGCAAGTTCCAGAAGCTCCCTAGCCCCAACATCTTCAGCTGTAAAAGTAATAGATCCAGCTCCCAGGGCTGTTGTAAAGACCAGAGATTGTGGGCATGAAGCACTTGCTACACAAATGTTAGGCACCCCACACATGGGAGCCATCGTTCTCCAGTCCCACAGAGCAGCACCTGGTCGACTTTCTCTCCCTCATGCCTGTGGTGATGGCCACCAGAGAAGGAAATTGTTCACTTCAGGACAACAGTTCAGATGCGCTCAGTGAGAGGTTCCCAAGCCTGGCAGCATGTCCAAATCAGCTAAGGAGGAATTTAAACCGCGCACACCTAGGCCTTCCCTAGACATGGGAGACCAGATTGTAGTAGAGGTGGGGGTAGGCCCCAGCCTGTAATTTTTTTTTATTCATTTGAGAGACAGAGAGAGAGCATGAGTTGCGGGGAAGGGGGGCAAGGACAGAGGGAGAGGGAGAAACAGACTGGACATGGGGCTCGATCCCAGAACCCCGAGATCATGACCTGAGCTGAAGGCAGATGCCTAACTGACTAAGCCACCCAGGTGTTCCCCAACTCCACTAAACCCCCCTCCCCAGTGTGTAATTTTGAGCCACCCAGAGTGAATCAGTTGCTTTATCAGGGTTGAGACCTGTTCTGAAACCTTGCCACTCTCTCCAGGAGCCAGATCAGATCTCTCCTCTTGCTGAGACCTCCCTGCCATGTCAATCATGGAGAGATCCTCCAGAACATGAGCTGTCCACACAGCTCATTTGTCCCTGCTTTGTCTGGTTTCAAATATAAACAGATACCAGCCTATCTTCCAAAGTAAACTGAAACCAGAGAGAAGGAGGGGTGTCTCTTAAACTTCCTCATTCTTTTATCCCACTTTTGTGCCTCAGTCAGGTATTAGGCTCTTAATACACTGTAGAAGGTTCTAGAACTTTTAAGAAGGTACTTGGGAAAATTCTAGAGTAGAGGTCACACTCTAGAGACCCTGAATATATACTTTACACTGGCTCTTCTGGTCGGGTGTGAGGGGAGCAGTAAAAGAAACATCTGGACAGAAGAAAATGCCTTTGAGCTAAGTGTGTTTCTGGAGCCCAAGGACAGAGCCATCTCTCACCCCAACTGAAGACTGAAAACTCCAAAGCCACCAAAACCAAGGGCTCAATAAGGCACATGGAAAGTCCCAGGACAAGGAATCTTCAACTTCCCAGGGGACAGAAAGAGGTCTTCCCACTTACAGAGCTCCTGAGGACAAAATGACTTCATGCCATTTTCAAACCTGATACAAGAAGCAGCCGGGACCATAAGATCGGTACAAAATGAAAGGGGCTGGAGTCTCAGATGAGCCGCAAAACAAGAGTCAGTGAATTTGGCCTCTTGTGCCTTCACTTATGATTTCCCTTAGAAATAATAAATTAGGACCCTGGTGCTATGAGGAGTCCATTACTCTGACTTCCTAGGGAGAGTTACCTCACAAGCACACAGCCCTCGCCTATAGGAAAAGTCTCTTCCTGGCCAGCCCAAAGCTGCCAACATACAGCCTGGCCCCTTCATTGTCTCCCATCAGACCTAGGGGAGAGACACTATCCTGTGCAAAATTAACCTTCACAGACTTGAAGTCATTGTGAAATAGTCCACCAGCTTACTCTCAACCCAAGAATAAATTAACAGTGCTTCTCGGCTCCTTGCACATTAGAATCAACCAAGAAATTTGTATTTTTTAGAAGTTTCCCCAGGAGATTCCACTGTACCCTGAGGGGGAAGAGCCTCTGATACAGTAGGTATATGCCACCTGTGCTGAGACTCCCCTAAAAACCCAGGTCAAAGGACACACTGCCTCCTTCACCAACATCTTCTTTCTCTCAGGCCCAAATTCCAGGTCACGGGGAGCAGCCACAGACAGGTTTTTCTATGGGGTGCTTTCCAGAGATTTTTGCAAACTGCATCTTATAGTCTATGATTGCATTATATGGCTGGAGAATTTTTGTGGCTTTCCTCTGAACAGGCCCCCAGATAGTCGCATCCCCCTTCAGATAAGGATCCAAATACAGGACCTAAGGCCCTGTACAATGGCAGGACTCTCTCTCTCTCTCTCTCTTTCTCGTAGATACAGAAAGCTTTTCTTCCCTTTGGCTTTCCTAGGAGCAGATATTATATACATCTGGAAAATTTTTCTTAGCACGTAGGAAAATCTGTACTTTGTCATCTCATTGTGGGATTTAATCCACTTGTCCACCCACAGAAAATCCAGCTGCTGCTTGTCCTAAATTCTGAACAATGCATAGCAATGGGGCTAATTTCCCTCAAGCTCCAAGCCTAGAACAAGCAAGGGAAAGAGGCTTTTTCTACTGCCTTTGTAGACTCGCCCAGATCCGCAAGTCCAACTAGGAAGTTAGCCATGAGGTGGGGTGTCTTCTTCCCAACAGTCTCAAACTGAGCCTGGAGACTGCTTGAGATTCTCTCTCTCCTTCTCTCTCTGCCCCTCCCCCTGCTGCTTGCAGGTGCCTGTGTTCTCTCTCGATCTCAAGAAATCAATCAATCAATCAATCAATCTTTTTAAAAAATAAAATACACCTCAACTTATTCTATGTAACCAAAGAGAATGATTAATACATTTAGATGAAAATGCTCTTAGCATATGTTTTGTTTTGTTTATGCTCTTAGCATTTAGATGAGGGTTTGTTTGGTTTTTTTCTCTCTCTCTCTCTCTTTTTAAAATGTTTCCTGTTCAAATATTTGAATGCCCTCCAAGTGCTCACATACCCTTCACCTTCAGGCCATTCTGTCACTCCCCATAGTTTTTCTATTTGGTGACCTACAAAGCTAATTTATGAGGAAGTCCAGGCTATCAGTGTAGAGCTGGCTGACGAGGAAATAATTAGAACACGAAAGAGCCGTCTCTTCTGGGCAGGTACTAAACAATTATAAAATACTGATGCCCTACATGCGTGTGGCATGTTTTTCTACTCATCTGTTTTCAGAAAGGCATTCCCAGGCCTCCCAGAGAAGCTCGGTTAACCACATTAACGACCATTTGACTGCAGACCTTAGCACCTTGCCACAAGGCACACCTTCTAGTGGTGAAACTGTCACCAAAACTCCTATGTCTAGATTCAGTCCCAGAAGTCACTGGTATGTTCTATCTAACATGAAGCAAGTATTCTCCAATCCACTCGGAGATCCTGCCTTGGAGGACTGACACAGCCAGCCCACAGAGAACAGACCATCTTCCTCCAGCCTTCATTCTTCTGTGGTGTTCATCTCTCACTCAAACATGAAGTCCCAAATCACTCTCCAAAGTACCTATAGGTCCTTAGAAGAGCAAACTTTACAGTGTTTCCAGGAATTGATCCCAAAGCAAAAGCAGTGCTTTCCCCTTTTGTTGTCCTTGCTTATCCCTGAAATCAACAGGCCAAGAGTCAAAGGGGTGGAGGTGGAGAAGTGAGACCTAGAAAGGTCATGTTGGAGCCATATATGTATAGGGAGAGCTCCAAGCACCCTGTAAACCTCAAGCCAGCAGTAGGGGTTAATCAGAAGGTAGATGGCTGTGAATTCAAAGTCTCTGCTGTTTTACAAGCATTTGATGAGAATGAATAATGTTCCCATCTCTGCCAGGGCTGGACCAGAAAAGAGCTCAGCCTAAGCACCACCATGACTTCCTTTAGAGATTGAGAGGAGGGAAAGCAAAGGAGGCAGAGTCTAGTTCTTTGGGACAAAAACTTTGAAATTACTTCCCATCAACTGAGCAGAGCAAATTCACTCGCCTCTCCCGGTCTCTTTTCCTGCCAAATCAAAAGGCCTGATCAGTAAAGGACAGAAAGTGTGTGTGTGTCTGAGAATGTGAAGCGGGACAGGGGATGATGGGCATTGGGTGAGGGTTAGCGGGGGACGGTGGCAGGTGGCTGGAAGTGGCAAGGCAGCAAAGCTAAGGCAAGGAGATTCTGAAGAAAGAGCGACGACTCCATCTATCACTCTAGTTCTTCCATCCATCTTGAAACAGAAAAAAAAAAAAAAAAAACTTCACTTAAAGTTACAGAACTTATGAAAACCACCTCTATCCCCGGGGATTTGCTCTGAAGAGGGGAGCCGCACACCTCCACGCCAGGGTTCCTCCAGTTCCTTGGAGGTCAGAGGGATGGAGGGGTCTCAGGGGCTCTGGCGGGCTCAGGCGGACGCGCACTCCCACGTCCGCTCCCTTCCGAAGATTCCAGGACGCACCAGCGCTCTGCGTCCGCGACGCCCCGAGAGTTGGCTGGAACCCCGCAACTCTGAGGGTGTCAGGCCCGGGCCCTGGCCGGCAGCCCGGCTCGGAGTCCGCTCTCGGACACCGCCCGCCGCGGAGCCAAGCAGGCCTTACCTGGGCTGGGCAGGGCTCCTCCACCGAAAGAGGGATGACCTGGACGGTTCCATTGAGAGGCTTCTGCTCCTCCGGTTGCCCTCCGAGCGCCTGGAGCTCCAGGTCTTCCCCCGGCGACGGGGATCTGGCCCCTTCCATGGACTGAGCGCTGAGCGGCCCGCGGGCAGCAGGGCGCACACTCGCAAGGGTGCAGAGTCCAGAATGGACTCCCGAGCGGCTCGCTCTCCGCCCCCCGCGGGCGCGGCGGGCCGACCTCGGGCGGCGGGCGGGGCGCGGTGGGGCGGCGCTGGCGCTGGGGAGGCGCCCCAGGCCCCTGCGGGGTAGAGCCGTCGCGCCTACTGTGGGCTCGCGAGCGGAGCAGAGGAGGGCTGTTTTTCTGGTTTGTTCAGGGCGCTGCCGGCTCGTCTTTTCCCACTTCGCGCAGATCCGGAGCAGAAGCGGAGCCGAGGGCCCGGCCGGGTGGCGGCTGTGGCCGGGATGGGCCCGGCAGCGCGGTGCCGCGGAGGAAAGTGGACGTGGAGGCGTCCGGGAGCCACCTGCTGCCAGGGCTCGCCCGGCTTTCTCTGCCTAGCAGAAGTTCATTCATTTCATCAGCAAGGAACTCCGAGGCATCTCCTGCGTGCCAGGCATCGTGCGAGGTTCCGAGCGGGTGAGAAATAAATGACGCCTTCCCTGTATGAGTCCAGAGTCAGGCAAAGAGACGGGATGGGGTGGTGGATGGGGAGGGCAGGCTCTGGACCCAGGCTGCCCAGGCGAATCCCCTTTCACACGGCGCCTACAGGGAGACCTTGGCTTCATCCTTCCTGCCAGCTTTCTTGTCTGTAAAGTTGGCAGCGTGTTAGTGTCTGCGTAATGGAGCTGTTGCCAGGATTAAAAGAGTTGATGTCAGTGAAGTCCTCGGAACAGTACCTACCAACATGTAGAAAACATTCACAAATGTTTATTATCATCTGCCTTTGAGAAGACGAGTCACAGACACCCCTCACTCCCAACAACACACACACACACACACACACACACACACAACCTGAGGGACAGGCATAGGCACTCACACACAATGCGTAGTTCAGAACTTCTGCTCTGGGGAGCCTGGAATAAGGTTTGCTAAGCACCGTTTGCTTTGATCCTCTCAAGGTTCTGTTCTGAGCTGGCTTGCCCGCAACACAGGGATTGAGACCCCTGTGAGGCCCCAACAGGATGCATGTAAATACGTTTCACTTCAGAAGAAGCTGACTTGTGTCCCAAAGTCTGGCACCCTTGATGCCTACTGTTCAGCTGCTTTGTAAATATTGGATATCTAGTTGTCTCTTGCCTGGTACGGGATCATCTGGGCTCTATCTGGCAGCCTTCAGGGCGCCTGGGCGGTTAGGTTCATTGAGCCTCTGACTCTTGGTTTTGGTTCAGGTCATGATCTCCGGGTGCTGGTATCCAGCCATCTCTGGGCTCTGTGCTCAGCATGGAGTCTGCTGGAGATTCTCTCCCTCTGCCTCTCCTCCTCCCTCCCCCTCTACCCCCTGTACCTCCCCGGGGCTCGTGCTCTCTAATAACTAAATAAAATCTTTTTTAAAAAAGAACTGGAGCCTTCAAAGGGGGCCCTCCCAGTAGTATCTAGGGCGAGAGGACAGCAGCCCAGCAAGGAGGAAACAGACGGGAATAAATACTCTGACCTCGCTCTCCGCCTGCCACTCTCCTTTCCGTGACTCCCTTTGGGAACTGGTTATAGAAGTTGGGGGTCGGCCTCTTAGAGCTCACAGAAGAAAATGAATATAGGGTGCAAAGAGAAAGGAAGCCTGCACCTTTCTGCACCTTTCCCTACTGACATCTTGTCTTCTTTCCCAGACACTCATAGTCAGGACAGCCCTCTTTTCTGATCAGATTCCTCTTCCGGGCTGGCCCTCACCTCTCCCATTCTATCGCCACCCCCACTTCTTTGTATATGATGTTCCCTCTGCTAACAATGCTTTTCCTACCCATTTTCTGCATAGACGGTTCCCGTTCATCTTTAGCTTCTAACCGAGACATACTTTTTCCACAAAACCTTCCCTGACTTGCCTCCTCCACCAGAAGTTACTCACAGTCTTCTCTGAGACCAATACACATTGTACCTGGGCTAAATGCATCCGATTCAGGCCAATTTAATTCAACAAATTGTACTGAGTGCTTGCTCTGTGTGTCACACATTCTTCTGAGTGCTTGAGATATGTCTAAAGAGACTGAGGGGAAATAAAAGTCACGGCCGTTGTGAGGCTTATAGTTAATGAGGGGAAATAAGCTTAAACAACGTTTCTAGAATATTTGAAATGCCTTGTGCTATGGAAAAAAACAAAGCAGAGGACGGGAGCCTGGAGTGTCTAGTGGTAAAGGTTAGGGAAAGAGAAGGGGGGGATTACAAATAGGGCAATCATGTCAGGCCCCATCGAGAAGGTGGAATAAACAGGACATGGGGACACAATGTTCAGCATGGCGACTGTAGTTTAGAATATGTGTTGCATATTTGAAAGTTGCTCAGAGAGTAGATCTTAAAAGTTCTCACGGGGAGAGGAAAAAAACCTAGTAACTATGTGTAGGGAAAGACATGAACTAGACTTACTGTGATGATCAGTCACACAAATATCGAATCATCATCTTGTACACCTGAAACTAATATCATGTTAAATGCCAATTATTCCTTCAGTTTTTAATGGGCAGTTGGAACAAAGAGTTAAAGTTGGGGAGGACAGTAGCTGTGTTGTGTCAAAAGAAGAGGGACGTTCAGGATAAGGACCGTAAAGTGGGGTCCGTTTGACTCTTACTGTCCGAGAATCAGTAAAGCAGCCTGAAGAGCTAACACGAAGGATCAGCAGTAATTTTTTTTTGTTTTTATCTAAGCTTCTTGAGGTACCTGTGAATTCCCAGTGCTTAGCTCCGCGTGGAGCATGGTGTCCTATATAAATGTCGGTTGGTTGGAATAATAAAATGATATTCTCAGCAACAATGGTGTGTTAGGCCCGGGGCCTGAGACTCTGGCTTGAATCACCAAGACCTCTCAAACCCGGACCCCCAACCTTACCCAAGGCCCAGACAACCTTTCCCACAGTTCCCTGGTTTGACTGCAGGAGCTCAGTCTCAATGGGAGAGTCTCTTCCTGTGTTGGATGAATCGCAGCTGTCTTCCGAACTCTGTTTCTCCTCGAATAGATGCTTAAAATCTTCTTCACCCTCCAGAGGATCAAAAAGCTACTGTTAATGGTCACAAACACACTCTACACCAGATCTCTTAATGCTTTCTGAGTAGTGGGGAGCAGGGTTTATGTAATCTCTAAACTAGATTAGGATGCTTTTCTAGAATTTCATAAACCTAACCCTTGCACACTGTTGGCATCTCTATGGTAATATAGGTTTTGAAGACAAACAGATTTAGGACTCACCACTGTATGCTCTTGAGCAAGTTGTTTAATATCTGTGAGCTGCTGCTGCTGCTGCTGCTGCTTTATAAAGAGAGAGCAAGAGAGATAAATAGAGAGTGTGCACACAGCAGGGTGGGGTGGGAGCCAGAAAGAGAGGGAGAGAGAGAATCTTAATTCTCAACATGGGGCTCGATCTCACCACCTGAACTCATGACCTGACCTGAAATGGAGTTGGAATCTTAACCCACTGAGCCTCCCAGGAACCCCAAGCTTCTTTTCGCATTATAAAATGATTCCTACCCAGTAAAGACAATTAAATGAAGTAATTAGAGTAAAGCACTTAATCCTATGCCTGACAAATAACAGGGTCTCAGTAAATATTCCCTTACTTTCTGTGACTGTAATCATCTTTGTAACTAATAGCCACCCACCCCCAACCCTTAGCAGCCAACAATATTCTTTGACTCAATAGATTTTCTTTTTATATTGATTTGTGTTCTTGTCCTGTTTCATTTTCTTGATCACTGACACTAGCTGGCACCTCCTAATATTACCTGAACTACTTAAATTCTTACTTGCAACTTGTTCCTGATTTCTGATAACTGCAAATTTCTTAATCTCCAGAGAGCTGATCTAGAATGTAGGTAAGTGTCCCAATCTCTTCTTGAGGACTTTTTCATCCTGCCAGTCAGTCTGACTCTAAACTAAGGATTCAGAATGAGTAAGAAAGTAATGTTTCTCCCTTTAGGTAGAAACAAATTTAGATTAAACAATTGTTGATTGAAGTTGAAGATTTGGGGACGAGAAAACAAATTCTACACAGATTTGTTTTTGCCATTTCTTTAAAATCTCTTTCTATAGGGGTAGCTTTTTAAAGGGTATTGTTCTTTCATAAAGTTATTCAAACATGTTTTTTAAAGTATACTGTTCTTGCACAAATAATTCTTTTTAATACAATTTCAGGTTATTATTGACTCAATAGCTTTAGTTTCCTTAAGGAGTAAAATGTAAATAACATTAAAAAATTAAAACCTCTTTGTTGCCAAGACTTGCTGACCAGTATAAGATTTTCAATTTTCCTTTTCTTGTCATAGTACTTGCTCTTTTTCTTTATCTCTCCTTTGAGAGCAAATAATTTCCCAAATGATTATTGTATAAACCAAAAAATAAAGTAACATCATCTAAGTGACATCACCAAAGCGCCAACGGATCTCATTACCTTCAAAGAGGCCTGTACTTCTGGAAATCACAACAATATGTATCCATATGTTGTCAGGTGACAAGCACTTCTACTCTAAACATAGGCAACTGGGCCAGCCTCTCAGACTAATCAAGCAGAAAACAGTTGAGAAAGGGTTGGTTTGTGATATTGCATTCTGCAGATTTGAAGACACTGTGAAGGAGTGCAACATTCCCCAGTAGTCTGGCACATAGAAATGTTCCGGTCTTGGTTTAAGGAGGCCATTCCAATCTACCAACTAAACCAGTCTCTGGATTTGCCTCTATCTACACTTTTACAAGAATGAAGTATATAGTTCCATGTCATCCTGGCATCTAGGTATAATATAGCCAAGTAAGCTAGGTTGGTGTTTCTGAACCTTTTCCCCACCCCTGCACTGCTGAGGAACATGGTATACTCACATTTGTGCAACCAAGTGTGTAGAATGGTAGCATGTATGTGTGGTTTGGAAAAATTCCCTGCGATGAATCTGATAGATCGTGCTAGCCCTCCTCCATCTCCTAACTGAGATCACAAACTTATTCAAGGTGTTGGTGATGTTTTTAAATAGTAAATCTCCTTAGAATTGACCACGAATAAAAAGTACAATTCAGAGATGTCTGGGTGGCTCAGTCGATTAAGTGTCTGCCTTCAGCTCAGGTCATGAGCTCAGGGTCCTGGGATTGATTCCCACATTTGGAATGTGAAAGCTGGAAAGCTGAGCAGTCTGCTTCTCCTTCTGCCTGCCACGCCCCCTGGTTGCAAGCTCGCACTCTCTCTCTCTCTCTCTCTCTGGCAAATAAATAAAATCTACCTAGGTCATAGCAATCCCAGGCAAAATAAACCTGGTTTTTAAGAACTGTCAGCCTAATTTGTTCTTCTACACAGTGAAATTTAGTAGCTAAGTCCCACTTTGTGAATTAAGGGGTGCACTTGGCACTCTGAATTGTACTATGCTGTAGCTGGCTTACTGAATCCTGAGGGACCCATTCAGAAAGGTATCATTAAAATTTGTCTTTTACCTGATGGAAACAATCTTTTGGCAAATTAAAATATATTCTCTGAACTGGGAATTGTTCATTATTTCAGGGACATTAAATCCATATTTCAGTTTTTCTGTCTGATCCAGAGAATGACCCCTTTTGCTCTTTTTCTCTCCTTTTACTGTTACATTAAGATCCTCTGAAGCCCCACAAAAACCATTTTCATTATTCTGGATCCTACTTAAAAATAGCATTATTACTTCTTTGACTTTGTCCCAGAGAAAACAAATGATATCATTCTTCTCCTTCCTGCTGTTTTCAACTAGTCAGTGGTATTGTTAAGTGTAGCCTCTGTTCATGGAAAGCCTATTCCAAGATTCAATATGAAACCTTCTAAATCAAGATCAAATAAATCAATAACTATGATGTTTTGAGCATGTACTACAGGTTTACAACTATGCCAGGTATTATAATGCCCTGAAAATAGAAATAAGTCTAAGCCATCAGAGTTTTATAAAAAAACAAAACAAACAAAAAAAAAGAAGCCAAATGATAGTATTTCTGAAAAATTTGACTTTCAGAACAACCATCTAAAAATTCCCTTCTCATTCAACTGATGAACAGGATTGTCACAATTCCTTAAATCTCATGTAAGTGCTTTCAGTCGAACTACCATGATGCTTCATTCCATGATTTTAGTGCAGATAGTTGAATGTCATCCTGACATCCTGAAATAGTCAAGTAAGTTAGGTTGTCTGTTTTGTTGTTTAGTTGATTGGTTTCTCTGTACACAATATTACCCTTTGCCATGGCTGAAGAAAGTCTGTTATTATGTGGTCAGACAAAATTGGATTGGAAACCAATAATATAGGTACTTCCTTTGTCAATAACTGAGATAGGGTTCATTTGCATTTATAAAAGAGACATTTTGTGCATTTAATTTTATTATAACACTGAAATTAGGCATTTTTTTAAGATTTTATTTATTTATTTGACAGAGAGAGAGATCACAAGTAGGCAGAGAAGCAGGCAGAGAGAGGGAAACAGGCTCCCTCCTGAGCAGAGAGCCCGATGCGGGACTCGATCCCAGGACCCTGAGATCATGACCTGAGCCGAAGGCAGCGGCTTAATCCACTGAGCCACCCAGGCACCCTGAAATCAGGCATTTTTAACGGAATTTTTTTACTTTAACAAATTAGATTTGACTAAATCCTTATAAATATCTGTACCTTGAATAGAAACATAAAGAATGGATTCCTAAGCACCTTACCCATTTTTTACCTTATGACCTAATGTCATGAATCAATGTCTTGATTCATGACATTAGGTTTTCCTCCATTTCTGAATGTCATGAATCAATGTCTTGATTCATGACATTAGGTTTTCCTCCATTTCTGAAT